AAAGGAACCATTAATTAAACCCTTTGGATATGACAATCTGAATGCATACAGCATATATTTGATTTAACAATACACTTGAGAGGTTATGGCTGAAACTGGATATTAATGCTATGTAAGAGTTTCATGTTTCATTTGCTGACATCAAATCAAAATAAAATTTTACTTTGGAGGACACATTTAACTTCATGTTTGGCATTTGCTTAATATTTCCACATCATTTTATTTCCTCATAATCAATATTTCTTGAAGTGCATCAGTCTCTCCTGCAGACAAAAACATACTGCATGGGGCTTTCCCTTAGGATTCAGTTCGATTAAATTAAATAATACATTATTAATCTCAAAGGTAAATTCAATAAATTTGGCTTTACCTTTCCAAATATAACATTGGCCATTAAGTGTTGTAATAAATACATCCATAGGTAGGCCTACATTTATCAGAAATAGGAATTGTTCAGCTTAAAATCTATGAAATCATCATCTGGGATAGTAAACGTCGAAATGAATAGAAAAGCATTAAAAAAATTGCCATTATAATTTGTTATGTGTAGTCATTTGAAAGATTTATGGTAACCCTGACTGATCTAAAAAGAAAACACTGAATTAATGGTCAGAAAGTGAGAGAAATTATTTTCATTTTTAGAAAATGCATTTAAAAATATCAATCTGGTAGATTTTATAAATTAACCATTTTCTTTGATCTACTATTACTGAAACAATGCATTTTAAAATCGAACATTTTTAATCTATGTTCTCACTGAGCTCATTCCCAAGGAAGCAGAGTCATAGCTTTTCAGTCTTAGAAAACCTACTGTTGAAAAGCCCTTTGTCAGCCCCTGTTAGCAGAGCCTATGCTTACTACTAACCAGAGCAGTCAGGAAGCATGCAGTTAGATAATCAGCCTTATTTCTAATTGGACCTGAAGGATCAGCGAGAAATAAAGCAGTTAATTCAGTTTGGTGAAAATCATTTCAGGAGTGAGCAGATACAACAGTCATTTCACACACAGCCAGCCTGTGCAGAGAAGCCAGATCACTCATGGTCTACATGGTTTAGTGGTGACAGTGTTCACATTTTGGAAGAGAGACGGAGGAGGTGTGATCGTATGAGCCCGCCACATCAGTGACAGTAAAAGACAACTGAGTGATTACCACGGAACCCTATATATGGTTACTGAGAACCGTGAGAATGACCAAAGCAAATATGGGTGACGTGTTAAGCACAAGCAGAAGTGTTTCCTGGAAGACTTAGGTGAGAAACTGCATAGTTTGAGTAAGACAAATTCAAGACTAGAAGATAATTTAAGAACCAAAAGCGCCCAAGATCTCATACACTGAGATCAAAGTAGGATTTAACAATCTATTTCTCTAAATTCTAAAAAGCTGGTCAAAACCAAAACAAAATGTTGAGAGAAATGATTTCTTAACCATCTTTAAATAAGATTCTTAAGTAAGTGATGCCATTTTTGCAAAAGCAACTGCATTTGGAAACTTGTCTATTTCTTTCTCTTTCATAACCATTTCCTAATATCAATCTTTAAGCTGCAAATATCACATAAAACTTCAATGAACAGACGGCCACTGAGCAGGATGAAGTGGCATTACATTTAAAAAAATATAAACCAAAATATCAGCCAAAAGTCATGAGAACAGAACTCTTTAAAGTGGAAAGGCTAGGTTTGCGGGCTGAGAAATAGGTCACTGCAGATGTGAGTGATGCTGACTAGTTTAGCTGCAAAGTCTTACCTTTAGTCTGAACGGCACCGACAGAGTGGTCAGCCGGAGGAAGTGGCAGATTTATATACACTGCAGGGGAAGCATGCAGAGCTCTGCTTCCTTCCTTTATGTGATCACAGAAGCTGTTGAAACCGAGAAGAGTTTTAAAAATCAGCCACTGCTGAGTTTTATCTTATCTTTATCTCTCGTTTGAAAATACCCTTTTCTGTTTACGTAAGATGACTTTAAGGTGCTTTTTCATTATCAGTGCTGATTCTAATATAGTAAAAAAGAACCAAAATCAGAAGTTCAGGGTAATATATTTTTTATATTAAATAATGGATTTGTCTATGCTTTCTTTTATACAAATACTAAAATAAAAGATAATAAACACTTTTAGGAATCAAAAAAAAAATTTGTATCAGAGAGTGGGGTGATCCTAAATTAACATTAATACACACAAACATTCACTTGTTTATTCTTAAGTAAGCCTTCTGGGCAAAGACATCCTTCCTTTGCCCCAAACTCCACAACATACAGCTCCCTGCAAATCCCTCAAATATGATTATGTTCAGTTTGAGCTTAAAATGCTGTTGTTAAAACCTTTCTTTCTCAGTCAAGGTTCTAGGATCTTTTTTTTTTTTTAATGGCTGCTCACCTCAAGTCTGATTCATCAGGTGCAGCGGTTGAAGCGCCTTGTAGTCATGTCTAGAGCAAATATGATTCAGCATGTCATCTAAACTGGAGGTTATTTTGACTCATGACCCAAAATATTAGTTTAGTATATAATTATTTCTACAAAATCAATTTACAGCAGTTCTTTGATATAGCATCAAAAAACAAAGCAATTGGTTTTCTCAATTTCTAAGTGATGGTTTTATATTTGAGGCACTTGTTTAGTTTAATTTCTGCAGTGGATCTCAAGACTCCATACTGGTTTACCAGCAACCCAAAGTGGGTTTACATTTCCAACTTAAGGAATCAATCCACGAAATACCTTTTAATTAGACAATTCCTGATTATAACTTCCCCTATCATAGATAGACAGCCTTTTGAAACAGTGGTGATCGCAAGTGCCATCAAAGCAGTGGCACAGGGAGTGGGCTGTCTAATTACAGTAGATGAAATCAAAGGTAGGATATACTTGCAACTTGAGGCGTGTTCCTCAGGTTCCTTTACTGTAATAAAGTGTTGGAGCGGTGATCTGAATGCAGAGGAAGATTCAGGCTGAATATTTTTCTGTCTCTATCTGTATCAGACCTTGTATTTTGTTTTAACTTCCTGTAGCATTTTGCTTCTGTCAGGCTGCCACAGGGCAGCTGTGGTTACAGTATAGCTTACCACCATAAGCGTGTGAATGTGTGACAAATGTCAGCAACATAGTGTAAAGCGCTTTGGAGTCTTTTAACTTGAAAAGGCACTAGTAAAAAACAAGTTATCATTAAACTTCATAAACTTTTAATAGCTGCAAGGAAGGGAAAAAATTCACAAAGATTTTATTGGTAAACATATTGATAACAGATTCTAATTTACAAGCAAAAAAATCAGATTTGCATTTATGCCAAGAGACAAATGAGCTCCAAGGAACATTAAACCAAGAGCTCCATGATTTTTTTCATGACGTCTCAAGCATGGCTCCTGTCTGTCTCTCTTATTCCTCCTAGTAATTCTCAGGAGAAACAGTGAGAGACATATATTGCATAAAACTAATACAAAAGTCAGCCTGCAATCAATCAACATTTGACTAACAACATTTTCCAATAGGTTGTTTCGTTTTTCCTCTGTGTGAAGGTGATCTCCTCTGTCTTGTAACAGGAAACATCCACCTCCTGTTTCTAGTCAGTTTGACTCATTAAAGATGACGTGTTAGACTCAGAGCTCTCCTCTTCATCGAACAGACTATAGTCTATTGCACTGTTTGGATAACCCTCAAATCTACTGTTTACAGCTTTCTTCTCCAGTTCTTGACTTTTAGCATCTTGAACATGCATAAACCACACGTTTTCTGTATACAGGCAGCTGTTGCTAATGCAAGAATTTATGCTTGTGGCTGATTCTATCAATGTCGTTTTTACTTTGTGCAACACTATTTTACTGGAATTAATAAGGAATGTTGATACTCACCTGAAGTTTACCCTTTAACTACATTTTTTTGATATTTATTTTGGATATTGATCCTTTTAGTGTTGCTTTATCAAAGAATAAAAAAACCCAAATTCTTTAAACCTTATTGTCACTTTGTTGGAAAGTTTAATATTGAATCATGTGAACAAAAAGGCTCAGATTCATACCAAATTAAGAAGAATTTCTGTGTTTCATCTTTTAAGGCCATGTTCTAAATCTGGAACGGATTCTCATACGACTGAAGAAAACAGATTTCTGGATATCAGCAGAAAAAGAACAAAAGAGGGACGGACAATAAAGTACAGAAGAAGCAGGATTGTATTAAACGTTTGAAATAGAAATAACCTCTATTAAAAATCCGCACTAATAAGGGCATAGGGGTGATATTTGGTGTTGATTTTAAATGCAAAGGGTAATATGAATGAATTATTTGAAGTTTTGTTACTAACACACACTTAAATGGAGCATTACTATAATATATGATATAAGGGCTACAGTATACCTTAAATGTATCTTGAAAGTTAGGTGAAGATCCAATAAGTTTTTAATATACATTATCACAGCAAAGTGTAGCGATGGACAATTGAGAAACGCATTACACATCTTCATAATCGTGTGGAATTTAGTTTCTATCAAGGACATGTTAGAACTTATATAGTTTCAAAATAATTCCCTATTAAAATTCATGGCAGCTTTAGATGTTTTTTGGTTTCCCCTAATGGTGGTACATCAATTTAGCCTAAAATGTAGAAAGAGTTAAGGAAAATACATTTTGCCTTAAAAAATAGATAGGTTTTAATAGGTGTGTTTTATCTCATGAATGTATTATCACCTAAAAAACAAGGTGATGAAAACGTTTATGATCATGAGACTTAAGTTTGGACATTTAGCCAAAAAGCAATTTCCTAAGTCATAATGACCCCTAGTTATCAATGGTTCTGAATGTTGATGTTTGAGTAATAATGTGGATTCTGAACTTCAATGTATAATCAGATTGATTGTTACTGGGTAGCAGATTTATATAATAATAAATAATAAAAATGTAGAAAAAAAAAATTGAACAGTCGAACTAATAGATTTCTTTTAGCGTTTTGAGGCACATTGACCCTTATTTTCTTTTCTTTCACTCAGGACAGAGGGAAGGAAATGAAGTTAAAGAGGGGAGGAAGTAAAGCATCTGTTTAAGACAAGGTTAATATTCCAAACATTAATACTGCACATTTTTACCAACATACACGAAATTTCTATTTTCCAAAAATTCACAAAATACTAAAAACTGTACTGATCCAAAACATTATAAAAAACAGACAAGATAACTCAGCAACAAAATTTGGATGGAAAGTCCTCTTAATATGGCATGATTCCTTTGACAAACATATGCTACTTATTCATTTTATACATAAGGAGATGGCATTCCTACTATTTCCCAAAAAGCTCATCTTCAAGAGGTAACATTTTTCATTTTATAGCATTTTGGCTTAAAAGTCAGAGAAAGCACCAGGAAGATTTTTCTCAAAGTTGAAAACTACAGCAAAGATTAATGCCAAAAGAGTCCAGAAACATTGGTCTTAAAAAATACGGCTAAAAATGGAAGGTAATTTAAGTTAGAAGCCTTTGGTCTGAAATAGGAAACTTTCTCAATAAAGCAGCTAAAGAACCTGCTGCTTCGGTGCATCTAAAAATTGGACTGGCTTTAGACATATCTTGCCTTCGTTGGAAAGCCAAGCTTTTTTAAAATTAGTCTCTGGGTGTTGCAGTGTGTAGAAACGTTTTAAGCTGCATCGTCTCTTCCACTGATATCCTGTCATGGTAGAAGCTGATCCCTGTTAGGAGCTCAATGTCTCGAACTCTTGCGGTGTGAAATCTCAGCCACTCCTCTATCCACGCAAATTCAGACCGCTCCTGAAAAGACACAGAAAGATTTAAGACTGGATCTAGGAGATAGACTAACAAAAGTATTCACACAATCACAGTTTTTTCAATTCTCTCATATTAAAACTACAAATGTCTATGTATTAAAGGGAAACATTTTATATTTTGATAAAAAAAAACAAAAACAAAAAAACGAATAAGGGCTTTAACTAGTGGAAGAAAAACAAAACATGATATTTTTTTTTGTGGGCTGCATTTATAACCACCCTCTACCCTTTGCTGAAACACATCTACAGACTGACATTTGTTCTCATCCTTTTTCAAAGCTCAGTTAGATTTATTAGACAACTTTAAATGGTATTGGGTGGACTGTATGCCTGCATGTTGTCTAGGCTGTTCTAACAGATTATTCTTCAAATCTTCCATTGTAGTGTAGGCTTCCTCCCTCCCACCCCAGAAAAAAGATCTTTTGCAGCCAACAACTTTTTATTTTTATTTTTATTTCCGTATCTTTTCAGCCCCACCCATATTTCCATCAAATCTGATCAGCTTCCGATCCCTGAAATCTAAAGCCTCACTACAGTATGGTTCTAAAACCAGTTGATATTTTAACTGGAGAAGAAAATATTTAGTGTAGATTTCCATCAGTCGGGATTTTTTCATTTAGGGTAAAACAAACTTCTTATACGATCTCATTCGCTGATAGTAACGTAATCACATGTTTGCTGTGACTCCTGCATCTATGGTAGGTTTAAAGTAAAGCAGGTATAGTCTTTAAAAACATTGACTTCGATGTTTTAATGCAAAAAGATGACCTAGATTTTATTTAGGCATATTCAGGTAAGATGGAAACAGATTTTACTGTTACTATAGATGCATGCAGATTTTATTTAATGGAAAGTGTACAGAGGTGTGGTTTGAGTCACAGGTGTTACTCACAGCACAGAACTCTGTGTAGTCAGATATGTGGGGCATAATGAAGGAAATGGCCTGAAGTGGACCCTCGCAGTTAATAGGAGTCAAGCTGGAGTTGCGGCAGCTGGTCATGATCAAGAAGAAATGCGTCGGGACATCAGTTTGGTTCCTGGAGAGAAAAGGGTTTTTAAGATTCAAAGAAACAGCTGGATTTCAACATGTTTCCTAAGCAGAAAACATTTTCTTTAGCTCTTATGATTCCTATTTACTTCGTCCGTGCTGTGATGACACAAATCTGTTTTTTTTTTGTACTATTTGTCACAAAAACCTCTCATATTTCCACACCAGACACTAACACAAGCAAACAGCCAGGGGGCATGAGCAAAGAACTGCCTTTAGTAAGCTTATTAGTTACAGTATTTCATTACTAACTAAAAAAAGAAGTGAGGGTAAAAAAGACATGGTCAGTTATGATTCACAGTTTCCTTCGCCGCAGCTCAGTAAATCTTGTGTGATAAGATGTAACCAGAGAACCACCAAACTGTCATGTGGCTTGATTTACGTCTTTTACAATTTGGATTTAGCAACACTGTAACCGCCCTGAACAGTTTTATAAAATGTGTGAAGATCCCTCGTAACCACATCATTACATCTTTTAATGATGTTTACAAATCCTTACTGTATATTATACAAAATCAACTATTCTTAGCTATTCACGATGCTGTATTATTTTCCTTTATTAAAATCAAGCACAAAGTTTTATTTAGCTTGATTCATGCATGTCTGAGTAATCCTCATGAATTCTGCTGTGGCATTACCAGTTTACGTAGAACAGTGATAACCTGCCCTCTTAAGGAAGCACCTAGCTTCGCCTTGCCCGTAAACAACATGCCACTTAATCAAACCACCAAGCAGAGATGTGAGGCAGAGCATGATTTTTTTCACTAAAAGCTGACTCAACTTAACTTTATTTATAGAGCCCTTTAAACCCAACACAGCAACCACAAAGTGCCCTTACATACCAAGAAAATAAAATGGAATAAAGATAAAAAAAATAAACATTTGAAAGAATAAAGTGAGTAAAATAGATTCATTAATTTATAACAAATAAAATAAAATAAAAAACAACAACTAAAACAAACCTGAAAAAACAAAAGCAGAGAGAGCATCATACTGCGTTGAAAGCCAAAGAATAAAAAAAGGTTTTAGGATGAGTTTTAAAATAGATGGTAAGGAGGATTGCCATAAGAGGAGGGGGAGTTCATTCCACAATTTTGGAGCAGTAACTGAAAACTGTGTCTCCTCTGAGCTTCCATCTGCACCTCGGTCCCTCAAGGAGCAGCAGGTCAGCTGACCCAAGGCAGCGAGTAGGAATGTAGGGATGAAGAAGCTCAGAGAGTTAAAGAGGGGCCAATTTAAAGACTTTAAAATAGGGATGCACGAAATAATCGGCCCACTATCGGTATCGGCCTGTATCGGCCCTAAAACTGAATATCGGACATCGGCCACCCCACCGATATTTAACCCGATATTTGATCAGCTTCTGAGTTTCTAAAGTCTAAAAAAAAATAAAACATACTTCTTCTTCTTCTTCCTCAAAAACTTATTTTTTTACAGACTTAAAAACTTCTAAAGACGGGGGAAAAAATATTGATACATTAAATTATCACAATATCTTCCTATGCTGATATATTGCCATTTAAAAACACCATATCAATCACTTTTACTAATGAAATATTGCTATATGTCAACGTTATGCTACGAAATCCCCCGAAAATTCACGAAATTTTGCCATATTTTTATATGTTGATATATTGATATATATATATTGGTATCGATCTATTTTACTAACAAAATCTCACAAGAATTTGCAAAATATCACAAGAGTTTGTAACAGAACGATGAAATTTCACGAGATTTTAGAAAGTAAAATAGATCGATACCGCGTTTTTAAAAATCAATGTGATATCAGCATATGAAAATATATTTGAGTATATTATTTTTCAAATTGTCAGAAATGGATAACAAAACTGCTATTTTCAATGACTACTTATTTTTGTCCAGCTTTAACATCAGTATCGGTTATATATATATATATATATATATATATATATATATATATATATATATATATATATATATATATATATATATATATAGCAGTATAGCTCACTTTCACTTTGGCAGGCTTAGAAAAAAGCATGATGTATAACCTGTTCAAACATGACCCTTTAAAGCAAAGTGTATTATATTTGATTCATGATTTTTTCAGACATCTGCATCATCAGTGTGATATTTTATTTTATTTTAAAATCCTGACTTACACAATCAAACACATGTAGAGGACAGAAGTGCCCAATGCATCAAAATGGATGCAAATAAATTATCCAATTTAATTCATACAAAATGTTATTTTTTATTGATATCATTGTCAGTAAATTCAATGATAACTCTAATTTAAAATAATTTTAAATTAGTGATTTTTTTTCATTTTCCAGGCTGTAAAGGGTCAAACCAATTTGAATTTGTCAAATATATACTACATGTAACTGTAGTTGATCTGTTTCCTACTTTTTTTCCTGGCTGTCTTTCCTTAAGCGTTCCAATACATTCTGTTTTAGTAAACTGTGATATTTCATAACAAAGGCACTGGGCTTATGAATACCCAAAATGAAGAAACAAGAGGTAAAGTAAGAAAACAGCAAAGCAGGTGAATATCTAAATAAGTGAGGCAACTGATGTAACATGTTATTACAGCAGTTTGGTAATTCTGCATTGCAGTTACCCGTTTTACAGAAATAGGACAATGTTTCAGTCCCAATTTCAAATCCCAGCACTTTTAAACACATTTTTATAAAATAAAGGACAAAAAAATAAAAAATTCAGTAGTTATTGAAAGTGTCACAGGATAATTTCTCTTATTCCGACTCTTTGAGGTCACATTAAATGCACAAGGTAGAAATAGTGTACCTTGAAAACATTTTATATAAGTAACGTGCATATGTATGTGGAGAGGGAGATACAATAAAATGCAGATTACTAAGAATGAGGCACAGGAAATAAGTCAAAATGTTTTTTATTCCATATTCCAAATTGAGCAACTAGTGCTATTTAGGATTATGTTTTGGCATCAAACAAATTAAAGGATTTTTAAACTTAAAGCAGTTCCTTACAACGTCTCATGTCCAACAAATGTATTTACTGTTTATGATATTCAAAAAGTAGTTCAAATTACAGCATAAATTTAAAAGACCCATTATGCTTATTTGAAAAGATAATTCATTAAAATCGATAACTGCTTTGCTTTGGTGTCATATCAAAGGAAACACTGCCTGGTTAGGTACATTTTTAAAACTACAAATCTCTGAATAGGAAATTTCTTTTTAGAAATTGCTAAACATTTGAAAACATTTGCACCAAAATGACAGCAATCCCCATAGCTGTATACAACTTACCCTGTGCTTTTCTTGACTGGATCAGCATTTCCATCAAAGTCTACATCAAATATCGGCCCACTGATAATGTTGACCCCATTCAGCTGTTGCAAATAACTAAAAAGCACAGAAGTGTGGAAACGGTTCCAAACCTCTGTGAAAACAGAAACATAGGGTTTAGCATCAGAGATAAACCTGTCGTTGTACAAGTGACATTTCATTTTAAGGTTGTACAATCAGGGTAGAAAGGGTGTGTTATGAGCAATGAACCATTAGAGGGCAGCACCTGCTTGAAATAATCCAGGCATTCAAAACATGAAAAACAATTTGAAATAATTTTATTGGAAAAAGATTTTATTTAAAGGTTTACAGACCATTGATGACCTAAAAAGGATTTTATTTATCGAAACTCAACCAATTCAGCATTTTTCAGATCATATAATTAGCTGATTCAGTTAAAAAAAAAATGGATTATTAATGCTGATTCATAATTAATGCTCATTCCCCCTAAAAAACCCCCCTTTCAGTAACATAGACAGGTATCGTGTACCCAAACGTCCCCCATTCCTAAGGGGCGGACCCGTTCATCCTCTTCAATTTGCATGTTTTCTAAGCCAAAACAAGGCTTTGTTTTTGTCCACTCTATAAAGCCCAGAACTCAATGCTATTTCTGCAATTTTGAATTGAAAAAGCTTCCTGGATGGGAAGAAAAACATCTTCAAACTTGGAAACAAAGTCAAGTGGATTTCTTTTTTTGTACTTTTTTGGGTTGATTCATATGGTCCCGTTCAAAATAGAAAAAATAATCTAAACCGGAGGTCTTCAACAGGGGGTCCGCGACCCCTAGGGGATCCACGGAGGTACTGCATGGGGGTCGTGAAAGTTTTGGTTGATCAGACTTTTTTTTTAATATTACCCCTTGCAATTTTTTCCACTAATTAAAATGTCTTTAAATACAAATTAACATGATTTCAACACACTGTAGTAAACAGATAAATGGAGGGATCAATGCATCAATGCACACATTCAGCGACACACACGAGCTCTTTCAAGCTGGGCACCGTTTCATTCACAACACCTGTCCCATCAACCAGGAATCAGAATCAGAAATGCTTTAATAATCCCAGGGAGAAATTACTTTCGTTACATTACTCCATCTGTATTAGAGTGACTATGGGACCAGTTTGATATAACACAATTTCATACAATATATATAACTAGGGGTCCCTGCTCCATCTCACCATCAGTTGGGGGGTCCTTGGCCTGAAAAATGTTGAAGACCCCTGATCTAAACCATTAAATAACAACTTTCATTGTTATTATCAAAATAACTTTAATCGGTTTACATAAAAGCAGTTGTGAAACAGAAAACTTCTGAATAAAACAACACATAACTGACAATTATTTGCAGAAATATTCACCTTTGAATGCAGGGAACATTGGCGCCATGTTGCTGCTGATAAGAGAGTCCGTCTCTGGACCAGTGGCATTCAGATCTGAAAAGAGGATGGAAGCTGATACATCTGACTGGGAAAAACAGGTAGGTAAGAGGTTTTTTTCCAACATAAGGCTTATAAGGCTCTTTAAGTTGTAGATCAGGATGCCAATTTATGAAGGTATGAGATGGTGAAATCTAAAAATGCTGATAATATAGAAAGCTGAACTTAATCCGTTTTTATTGTTACAGAGAAAGAGGAAGTTAATATTTTTGATACATCTTGGTCTTTCACAGCTGCTGATGAGTCTTAACTTCCCTCTTTCACTTACCTACTAAGGCCACCAGGAAGCAAAACATTTTACACCCTTCTAAAAGCTTTTATACCAACTCATATTTTTGTTTTACTGCAACAATTAAATATAAATATTTTTTTTATATACAAGACTATTGCATAGCTGTGAAATGGAAAGACTGCCAAACACAATGAAATCTGAACAGTGATAGGGCCCAGTCACACCTTGCCTATTTAGACAGCTTATACCTGACATCCCAGAATCTCCTAAAAAATGGCATGCACTGAACCTTCCATGTATTTTTTCAATTTTAGGTGTATACTTCGAGTATTCATAATGAGTCCTGACCTTATGTCCAATGACAGCCTAACTTATGTCCCAAGCCAGTGTCCTGAGGGGGGCAGCAATGCGCCCGAAGGCGCCCGAACTGCATAAAATTTTTTATTTGATAGCAGTGTTAACCTGCTGTTTACCACCCGCCCAAAAAAAAGAATAAAGTAAAAGGAAAAAGAAAGAAAGAAAGAAAGAAAGAAAGAAAGGTTTGCAGTCGCAGCAGATTTAGCATCATGTCTGCTAGGATGTTTGTTGGTCGTAGGCATGAACGCAAGGAGGATCCATCAAACTCACCTTCTCGCTCACCGTATGATGGGTCTGGAAGAGTTTCCTCCTGTGAACCCCCTTTTATACCAAAACACTGCCAATAAGCCATTATACAGTAGCTGTAAGTTAGAAACATGTTCAGTGATCGTCTGGAGCAAGTCAAATACGTTTATATGCGTTGAAGATGACTTCTTGATAAGTTATGCACAAGGTACTCATATCTTTTCGATAAGCTAGACACGGCGACTTATGTGTAACTTACTCTTAAGGTATGTCAATGATCAGATAGCTTACATGTAACTTATGCCCAAAGTATGAGCAGACGCTGGCATACTTTGGCAAATTTTGAGCATGCTCAAAATATCTTGCCACACTCGCCGTATGTCGATGTGTGCCAGTGTGCTTACTCAAAACGTATCCATAACTCATCCAACATATGCCAGCGTTTTTGCCAGATTTTTTGTACATCAGGCTGGTCTAAATCGTCTAGGTGTGACAGGGGCTTTAGTATTTCTATGCTAATAAAGCTGCTTATTGGACTGAAAGGTCACAGAGGAGATGATGAGAACCTTTTTTTTATGTACAGTTACACACACTTACATGGGGGGTGCAGCAGGCCATACGATAATTTGGCCTCATCGCTGTAGAGGAGACACAGCTGACCAGATGAAGACGGGATGCGTGGGTCTGCTCCAACACACCCCTCTTGGCTTGGGTACCACACACTGGGCTAAGAGAGGGGATCAGTCATGGTGGACAGAGTGGACAGGAAAACAGAAAAGGGGAAAGGTCACTTGACTGAGTAATAATTTAGTTTAGAAAAGCAAGGAAAACAAAAACTATTTATCTGAGGTTAAATTCTTGCATGTTATCAAATGAAACCAATCTTATAGAACAAGCAAAAAATAACTCTGAAATATCAAAGAACATCATTGGGTTTAAATTAATTTTATCTCATCCTTGAGCGCCTTTAGGCTAACATTGTACCCATTCTTTTTTGGAAAGTTGCTTCAGCTCAATTATATTAGACAAAGAGTATCTGTAAACAAAAATGTACAAATTTTTTTCTAAAAATAAGTAAACAAGAACTTAATAACAATACATATTTAGAACCTATTTTGTTAAAGTTATCTCTTTCCTACAAAATCTCCTGTATGATCTCCTTTGCTTGTCTTATGCCTAATGGAGTGGGGATCCTTGTACCGCAGGTAGCAAGTTGGGGTTTCATACTAAATTCAAAGATATATATGTGGGCATTCTCAGAGGCAGTTCTCTTGCACCTTAATATGCTTTTATCGGAATGTTACATAAATCAAAATGCCAAAAAGTTTAATCTTTAAATTGTAGTTCTGATAAGGGCAGTGAGAGTTAATGATACATTAAATCATATATAAAGGCATAATATTTTTTATATATGAAATATTTAATCATAAAAATTTCCAGTGTAGTCCTGTTTCTCTGACCATGACTGGCTGGATGTGCTCTTTTCGTCCTCTGACATGGGAACTGACACTGAGTCTGGTTCTGCTAGAGGTTTCTTCCTGTTACAAGGGAGTTTTTCCTCTCCACTGTTGCTACAAGCATGCTCAGTGTGAGGGATTGTATTTGAGTCAATGAGTCAATGCAATCAACTGGTTTTCCTGAGCTAGAAAACTTTGAATAAATTTGACTGTACCTTAAGATGACTTGTGTTGTGAATTTGGCGCTATATGAATAAACTGAATTGAAATTGAATTGAATTGAAAAAAAACATCTTAAACAGTAAAGCACGTATTAATTGTGATGCTTTGGTATTTCAAAAGCATTTTTACCAAATTTTACTTATATTGCAAGAGTAGAAGTTAAAATATGCCTTATTTGTAGTAGGGGTGCTCATACATTTAATGCTGGATTAAATGTAAATCTATAATACAAAAAATAAAATATTAGTTAAAGAGGTGATTTTTTTAATTTTTAAAGATAAGTACTAATAAACAGAATAGCCTAAACACAAGAGGAATCACTTCAAATAGCCTAAATATGTACTGAAGTGAAACCTGAAAACCTTGGGTGATAAAAATTACTTTGGACTCCTCCCCATCCCTCTCAGTTGTGATTTTAACCGCAGTGCTCAGTAAAAAATAGACAATCCAGCTGGCTCTGACTGACAGTTTTAACTTAAGCTTGATGGATTCTTGGAAATGTATCAAAAACATAAATGGCTTATTTTCTGCCAAGTTACTCATTAAATTTGTGTAGACTATTTTAATGGTGGAAACATAAAATCTTTTATATTTTTTAGATTTAGTATTTAAATCTATGTATGTATATAATAAGACACAATTAAAGAGTCATAACAATTTTTTTTACCCACAAAAAACAAAGGGATTTACAAGGCAGGCAATTTTTTGCTTGTCTGTATTTGGATAAAATGCCCACTTGCTCAAAAAATTCAAAGGAGTCAAAACTCCATTGGAAATACACCACTGTGTCGAAGGTTTTGATTTACACGAAAGATCTACCACTGAGAGGAAAAAAGAAAAGAGCTGTTTGAACCACACGAGTAGCAAAGATGAGCAGCAGCTGTTTACAGAAGGGATTCAGATGCTTTACAAACCTCCTCCAATCTGCAGCCAAACCACAGTCATAGAAGAAATTCAGCTGAAGCAGCCCTGACTGATGGGGCTAAGTTTGGAGATGGAAGAGAGCTCCGAGCTGTGCACTCACCAGAGGCTGGATGGTGAACGACACCCAGAGCGGCATGAGGCGGTCTCTGCTGTATCCACTGATGTAATCATCCTGGTACAGTAGACAAAAACTTGTGTCTGCCTGAGTGACCACAGGGGTTCCGAAAGGCTGGTGAAGGCGGCGCAAGTTACTCTTGGTGTCTAAGGAGGACATTTTAAAAGGTTATGCAAAAAATCTCTCAGTGCCATTCTAAAGAAAAAGAAAGATAATTACCTGAGTTTATTGTTAAAAGTCGTCCATTTAAAACTGTCTGCTGCAAAATAACAATTTAGTTTAATTGAAATTTATTAATTCATGTTATTCAAGATTAGGCAATAATAGCAGGATCTACAGCTTAAGTCAGCATTTGTATTTCTATTTTGCGTTAATAAAGACCATTTACTTGATTTGCTAATCAAAGGGGACACTTATAATAATCCAAGTGGGAAAAAGAAAAGTCCCCTACTGTTTTAGTGGTCTGAGATGAACAGAGGCACTGCAGGTCGTCTGTGGAAACCGGGTTGGAGCTGTCACAGGGGGTTTCATGGGAGAGCTGCGCGGGGTAAACGGGCTTATAGAACGGATGCTTCAGGAGATGATTCAGGCTGCCATGGGTCCCATTGTTAGGAGATGGACGGATACCTAGAAGGTCTGGTAGAGAAGATGAAACAATGTTTTATATCGAAGTTAAACATCAGATAATTAACTAGTAAAAAAGTAAAATGTGTTTGTCTAAAAGAAAAACGCTGCAAATCTGCAGGTTCTGTTCCTGAAAATGATTTTTTTGTGTCCGGCTAAAGCTTCTGATGCCACATATAAAATGGAGATCAACCAACGGCATTCAGAAGCCATTCAATTAGCAAACACAGGCAGCCAGATTTGAACATGAGCAACCTGTTTAGTACCATACCATAATGTCTCAATTGTACTTAACTTTGAAAAGTGAAGGGGAGTCAAAGTGGCAGCCTAGTGGTTAGGGCACAGGGCTTGGAATCCTGAGGTTGTGAATTTGAAACCCATTCCCACAGACTGCCACTCTGGGTCTCTGCACAAGACCCTTAAACCCACACTGCTACCCGGGTACCGCAAATGGCAGCCCACTGCTCCCCAAGAGGGGTGGGTTAAATGCAGAGAGTGAATTTCGATACGGTGTACTTGTGACGGTGTAATGACAATAAAAAACGCTGGAAAAGATGACACCAAAAGTTTTTAATCAAACTTAAACTTATTTTAATGCCCTTCAGAGTTGAACTTTCAGGTGAGCTTTAACACCAAGGTGCTTGTTGTTGCTTTTATTGTCCATCTGTGTCACCTAGGTGTTGTCAAGTTTGATGTAATGAACTGATGGTCAGAAGTTCTGTTGTAGGTTCATCAGCTAAAGAGCTGTAATGGTTCCATCCATCATGCAGTGATGATCATGTTTAGAAAATGGATGGATGAGTTCATGTCCTGAATCAGATCTGATCACATTACCAGCAACAAATTGATTTATTTTCTGAAATGTTGGTTTGATTTTATAATGCAAACCTTTCTAAAAGTTTAACCAGTCTTGCCTTTCTTTATGAATCATAAATAAGGCAACAAAGGCAAGATAAGCCTGCAGTGCTGGAATTTTTTTTTTTGGTCCTCTTATATAGCTCATGCATCTTTGGGTTAATTTCTAAGGCTGGCAAATCCTGGGAATATTTATCAGTGTTTCTTTTTTGTGCGTTTCTGCATAAAGGTTCTCAATGTGGTTCAATAGGAGTACTGAATCCTTAGAAATGCCTTTGGGATGCCTTTGATGCTGATAAATGTTGGTGCCTTTGTTGATCAACCCTCATTGAACTTTTCTTGGATCACAACTAAAAAAGATTGTGCAAAATTTAAAGATCTTTTATTCCACTTCATGTTGTCAAACAGGTTCTGATTAACTGCCTTTCTTTTTTTTTTTGTATGGGCCTGGCTGTATTTACACCTGGGTGTGGCTTAAATGGAACACAGCTTGTTTGGTTAATCACAGTTTATTTATGATTTAACATGGGGGGGATTAGGTGTTCACGGCAAGCTGGTTTTTATCATTTGTTCCCTAACAGTTACTTAAAAAACGTATTTAATTATTTATCAAATTATCCTTTAAGGATTTCAACATTTTTTTGATTATAAAAAAATATGTACTGATAGGAAAAACAGCCAAATCTTGTGTAATCTATAAGGAGGCAAACATTTTCTTTAGGCACTATATCCTTTTTATCCATTGTAACACTCTAAAAATGTAGTTATATATTATATTGGTCATTTTAATCATGTACTGTATTACCAAAAGACCCAGTAAAATACATCATGAATGCAACACAATAAAATGTGAAAACCAGGCAGCATCAGTGCTACACCAAAGCTAAACCGTAGCAACAACCTTACAATTACAGCAGTCTACTAGGGTTTGCTTCACGAATTGAAATCCTTCAGGTTGATAAAACCAAGGAGAAAAAGTTTGGCACATTTTATTTGCACTCATTTCAATGTACACTCTATTATCTAACCGTATACATAGTTTCAGATATTTGAAAAAGGCTGGTCGACAGATTGCTTCTAACAGTATTGTCATACCTCTGTTTATTCATATATATATACACCAGATTTTCCAAAGCATTCAGTTATTTCCACTCTGTGGACCTTTCTGTGAACTGCTTTTTTGTAATTTTCTGTTGAACTTGGCAGGAAAAATATGCACAGCTGAAGTTTGAAGAAATGGTTCCTGTTCTGAAATGTTTCAGTTAGGTGGATGTTGTCACAGCTAACAGCAGTGTAACAAACCGAATGAGGAAGGGAAATCAAAATCAACTTAATGACAGTGTAAGCTGATAATAAACCCTTATATTACAGAGATAATCTCTTCCATATTTTTAAAAATAAAATATATATATAAAAATGTAGTTTAAGCATTTGAACAAAATTTTTAAAACTTTACCAGTTTTGTTTAAAGTTAGAAAAAAAAGCATTTTGCTAAAGACGTTAGTAAATAACTATATATGTCAATTTTAAAGAAACCTGTTTCACTTTCTCTCTTCTCTATTTCCCTGAGCAGTGCTGCAGAGGGCAAAAGTTTAGTTTATTCACCTTCAGAGGTTGATGATTTTGTTGATGGGGTTGCTAGTTCTCTGCGTACTGCCTTAGACAACGCATCTACTTTGAAAAAGAAAAACTTTAAACTGGCTCCTTGGTTTAATGCAGAGCTGCACACTCTGAAGCAAAATGCTTAGAAACTGGAGAGAAAATCGCACTCCAAAGCATATGGAAATCATACATAGTCTGGAAAATGTGTTTCTTGCTGTATAAGAGGACCCTTCATAAAGTAAGAGCAGCATATTTATCCCCATTAATAAATGAGAATATGAATAATCCAAGATATCTTTTCGATACAGTTGCCAAACTCACCCAGAGCCATAGCTCTGTTGAACCGTCCATTCCACCTGCTCTTAGTAGTAATGAGTTTATAGGATTCTTTATAAATAAGATTGATCTTATTAAAAATAAGATAATTAGCACTCCTCTAACTATGATTGTTTTATCTCTGGAAGGTGAGACAGCATCTGAGGTAGCCCTAGAATCTGAACTGGGTTTAGACTGCTTTGATCCAGTTGAACTTTCAGATTTAGCAAAAATATTGTCTTCATCTAAGCCTTTAACTTGTATATTAGATCCAGTTCCAACCAGGTTATTTAAGGAAGTCATCCCTGTTACAGGGATATGTACCAAAGGCTTTTAAGGTTGCTGTAATTAAACCTTTACTTAAGAAACTGTCTCTTGATCCAGATGACTTGGTAAATTATAGACCTACTGTATATCTAATCTTCCTTTCTTATCTAAAATTCTTAAGAAAGTAGTTGCCAAACAAGTGTGCAATCACTTAGACCATAATGAACTTTATGAAGAGTTTGAGATGAGTTGAGATTACATAGATTGGTTTTAAAATCAACCCTGCTACATTAAAACTGAATTTAATATTTTAAACTTTAAGTTTTACAAAAGTATTTTGTTGAATGCAATCAGTTCTGCTGACAGTTTCTTCCTGTTCAAAGGTAGTTTTTTCACTGTTAACTGTCACTGCATGGATGGTTCGTGTGAGAGATTGCTAAAGAGTCAACGACACAATGCAAGTGAATGTCCCAACATGCCGTTCCAGGAGCGAATCCTGCAAAGTCAATGCCAGGATGCGATCAGCTGAGTTTCCTTAGATAGAAAATCTTTACTCAGCCTATCTGTAGGATTCAATTTAACTGTCTCTGTAAATTGCTTTGAGATGATAGGTTTTGTGTATTTTAAATAAACTTAATTGAATTGAACCTTAGCAACAGATTAATCAAACAGCGATTCAGTTATAAAAGTTTTTTTTCCAGCTTTTTGAGCTGAAGCAGTAGAGCATAAATGAGCATTGTTAAGGTGGATGTGTTCGACCTTACATTCACCATATTAATCTCATTAATGGGGAAATACTTTGCTATTTTAGCATCTTAAGCAACACTACAGGTAGCATAACTTTCTTTTACATGGTTGTTTGACTTTGTCAGTGACATCTATCAAGCTTGTGTATGCTGAGCTTTAGGGCTTGATCTCAAAAAGAGAAAGAATAAGCAGTACAAAATGTGAAACATAAATCTATGATTTATTACTCTGTTGCTAATGGACCAGGATGTCTGACCCAATGAAAATGAATTTAACTTAAACTGAATTACAGAACAAAAAGTACAAATAGCCTAAGTGAATTTTCAATACATGAAATATATTTTCAAAGGAAATAACTTCAGTTTCAAAATATAAAATTAATTTTCAAAGGTGGAATTCTTTTTCAGACCAATGCATTTAATTTCCAATCACATGAACGCAGATTCAATCTGAGTAATAACTTTCTGCTCCTAGATTATACATCTATCTGCCTTTGCACCAAAGACATGACTAAAGATTCAAATTCGTTTTTACCAATGTGTAGACATGTTCAGCCACCAACTGAACAATGTCCTATTATTTCAATTAAAGATTAGTCCTAAATAAAGTTATTTTTCAGCACAATGCTCTGCATTTGGAAAATTCTTTTTTTAATGTAAGGGCGTAAATACTTTACATGACTTTAAGAGCTGATAAACACACTTTTTGAAAGTTTCCTTCCATAAGGGTTTCACACCTGCATATATGAGGTAGATGTCCTAGGAACCTTCTGGCAAAAAATTTTTATTTCAATAAAAAACACCTAATTAAATAATTAACATTCCTCAGGTTTCTAAATACAGAAAAACAGTGAAAGGTTGTGTGACAACACATTTACATAAAAGGTATTATACCTGTGTGGGTGCATGTAGGATACACATTAAAGTGAGAATAAATAAACTTCTGATGTTGATGGATGATGCACGTGTGTTAAGTCTCAAACTTTTTTTAACAAACACATCCAGATGTGAACACATTACTCCTGTGCTGTCGTCACTCCACTGGCTTCCAGTCCGTTTTAGAATCGACTTTAAACTTCTGCTGTTTGTTTTTAGCGCCATTAATACTGTCTCTTAGATGCCATCTTTCTGTGTTCTCCTTTCTATGCACCTCTGGAAGGCTTTTAATGTCCTGCAGCACTGCACCACTACAGCACTTTTAATTGTATCTTGTATGTTTTTATATGTGTTATGTATTGTTTTTATAGCTTTGTTGTAAAGCACTTTGGGTACCATTTGGCTATTGTAAAGGGCTATACAAATAAAGTTGATTTAATTGATTTGATTTGAAACTTTCAGGTAGGCTCTGTATCTCATAACCTAGATCAGTAAAACAAGAGCGTAACTTTATGGATCAACATGTTTTTTTTATTTATTTTTTCTTAACCACAGCAGCCTAATCAGCATCAATGGAGCAATTAAGTCTCTGCATCTCTCACTCCATCTTACCATAACTCATAAACAAGATAGACTTAGAGCAAGAAGAAAAACAAAATGCCACAAAAAGACACTTACCGCACATGAGGTTATATACTTCAATGTTTTCAAACGGGGGAACAATTGTATTCGTTTTAAATCCTGGACCATAACCAATGAAGATCCCCTAGAAAAGAAAAAAAAAGAAATATATAAGATTTCCCCCCCCACACAGTTTACAATCTGTAAACATGATGAAGCAGGCTGAGCTAAGCTTTGAAGCAACAACATCTACCAGTTTGTGAACTGGAAAGCATCTTCCAGGCTTTTTATAAACATCAAGATGCAAAACACTTGATCCACATATTTAGTTCATGAGTAAATATTTAAAGTGAAATTAAAGCTCTAAATTTACCTAAACCTAAACAGGTTTCTAAGAGAACATTAGCATGTATGCAGAGCAAGACACAGTTTTTTGTTTTTAAGAAATTGAATTCCAGTGAACATTAAGTCCAGAAACACATCCTGTCAGAGACCTGGTGATGAATACAGGGGTATTACATTTAAATCCCTCATAGTAGGTTGTTAGAAACTTCATAACAAGTTAAATTCTTGTAATTTACTTAATTCTCAGTGTTTCACAAGGCCTCTTTAGAGGTTTCTTCAATTTTATTCCCTCTAAATCTTTACTTGTACAGCTGCACTCTCTATAATCTAATTTCTAAAAAACAGCATTAAAACACCTTTTTTAAGATCAATAAATGTAATTGTCCTTTTAATTCTTTAATAACCTTCTTTCTTGAAATCTAAAAATTATAGAAAGGTTTCTAACAAGCACATGCACCCTTTCTTATTCTGACCTGCATGTTTGTGAAGAGATTGTCTGAGCCATGGAAACCACCACTGCAATATTTGACTTCTGTTTTAGTACTGTGGAGAAAACATTTAGATAGGAAGATAACAAAAATTAATCAAACCAATGGAGGTTAAGGATATACAGAAAAAAGGTACATTTTGCACATCGTCATTTACTGTAGCTATGTGTATTATAGGGAAGGCTCTTGTGTCTATCAACTCAGTGGCTCTATTTATCCAGCTCGAAGCAATTACCACAATTACAGGGTTGCTACAAATCAAAGGGTCTGAGCTTTTCCTCTCCAACATGCTTCATTCATTGCACTCGGTTCCTGTCATTAGTTACAGTAAAAGATGTATACATATAGTTTATCCATCAAGTTGTATATCTTTACTGTACATGCCAGTTGGCAACAAACGCTTTTTCATTAGAGAAAATGTATTTCAACGCAGCCATCTTGGAATCGTCTAATGGAAAGATGTTTATCATATCAGAGGCATGGTTTAGTTTGGTTACACATACAAAAGTAAACACAGGTTAAAATCAGTTATAAAATGTGAGAGTAAAACGTTGGGATTTCTTAGTGGCATCTAGTTCGGAAGCCGTTGAAAATTTTTTAAGAGGTACCAGAGAGTGTGCAGCACAGGCCTGTCCTCCCTGTGGCCGCATGCTAATATCCAGCTCCCTGAAAGAAGACAAATATACTCTTCTCTAGCTTACAAATATGGCAAAATTGTATGGAAGCAGTTCTGTGGTAAAAAGCAAAAGCACTCATCATTTTTAAACTGAGAGGACATTGCTCTTATCAACATTGCATTTAAAGAGGCAGTTTTCTAATGATGATGTCACCTGTGGCCAAAAAAATACAAAACTGCAGCACTCCTCTGCTCGTTCTCATAGCTCCTGCTCGTATTTCTTTCCCTTCTTTTTTTTTCTTTTACATTTTTAACCTTGCATGAAGTTATCTGAATGCCAGGCGATCCCGAATATCCACAATACAAACTTGAAAATATTGCTTCAGTTGTTTGCTAGGTCGGGCCCATTTAACAGACACACATGACATCTGCCAAACAGCATTGGAACGTCTGATGTGAAGTAAATTAAGAAAAATATGCAACAGGCTTATGGATGCATTGGTGCTGAAATTCTGAGGTATCAGTCTGTTCATTCAAACTATATTTTTGGTCATAAAGGTTTAAAATAAAAAGGCAATTTTTATATTTTTCTGTAAAAACTTACATAATGTCTCTTTAAAGGAGAAGTTTGGTTTTTAACACTTTTAGCCCATTTTCTGTAGTGTCCAGGATGAAATCGAATGATCGACACCAAAATTTTGACAATTGGTCCTGTCTCTGCTTTTTGGCTCATTTAGAATCCACATCTGGCTGCTTCAGAATGGCTTCCATAGAGCATGTCCGATAATGTCCTTAAAACAACCTTAAACGTTCTTTTTTTTAAAATATGCTACTCACCGTGTCGTCAGCGCTGTTCAATGACGTTGCAAAAAAAGTTTCGTGAAGAAGAAACGTTCCTGTAGTGTTTTATTTAGCATTTTGTAAATCCCATTGAGTTCTGTTGGAATAGTCAATATTCCCCTGCCACCGGAAACGGAAATGGGGCCTGTTTACACAGTTGTAGTCTTTTCGCTTCACTCTGTGTACTCCGACGTCGAGGTGCTAACGTCTCTGTTAAACACTTTAAAAAACTCTGAAAATGGAATATGAAAGGTGGATTCTTGATTCTCGACGTCGGAGTACACAGAGTGAAGCGAAAAGTGGGTACATTCAAAATGTACCCACTTTCCTTGATGGGCCCTTGGCTGGTCCCCTACAATTCTTTTTTAAACATCAATCTTTGTACTAAAATATTCTTTCTGTCATGATTTGTGGACATTAATAGCTAAAGAGAAGCGCCAAATCCTGGTCAGACCCTGTAATTCAGTGAAACAGGTGGAGTCAGTCAGAGTAAAAGAATATGCACGCCCAGGAGAAGGAGGTGGTCACTCATGTGGCTGGAGGTTGGAGAGTATTAAGCTGGGAGTTGCAGGGAAGAGGGCAGCCTTTTAACTGGCTTTTGACTGGGAAGGGCCATTTTGAATGGATACTACTTTATTAGCATGTGCATATGGGCTGCAAAAGCAGATATCCTGAAAGCTTTTTACACAAACATTTCTAATCAATGAAGACTAGCATAAAAAAACATATATTTATAAAACTAATCTAAAGACAACGTCAAAGTCTGTCTATTGCGAGAAAATTTTTATAAATATACTGCATAGAAAACATAATTTTAATCTTCATAATTATTGTTTTAATTGTAATTAAAGGGGCGAGAATAGTTGTTTCTTGGGAGGCGAAGTTTCAACATAAATGCTGTGACACTGAGAAATAATTGTATTTTTACTGCAAGTTTCATGGTTTATTCATGAGCCTATTTAATTTATAAACAGCCCCAGAACTCATATTAATCTGATTGGTCCATAATATAAAATAAATATCCAAACCAGACAGACTTTTTGGTGTTAAGTAAATCCTTGAAAATTCTACATGTTATCAGATTGCATCTTATTTAGGTCAAAAACATAATTAATTTGTAGACGTTGTTCTACATATCTGAAGTGAGATTATCGGCTGGTGACTTGATACTTACAGTGCTGCCTGCCAGCCCTGCTTCATATACAGATGGCCCCTCTCAATGCGCTTGTTGTTGGCAAAGTGCATCCTTTTGGGGAGGTTTTCTTTGAGGTACGGCCTCATTGGCTGGTCATTAACCCTGCACTTCAGAATGCACACAGATGAGAAGAATCAGCACACAGCAGAGACAGGATGAGACTGTTTGTCATGAAGTCACACAAGCAGATAATTTTTAAATGCGCTTATCAACACAAAAGCCGCATTTGAAATACTTGGCATACCGACAGGTTCTTTATCAGGCCTTCATAGTCAACTGAGGATAGAAACAAAAAGGCAAAATCAGTGATGCTGGTTTCACATAAACACCCAAATATCGTTTAAGATGCGGGGGGGAGGGGAGGAGGATTATGCAGATAGAAACTCACAGGAGAAGTAATCCTCTGGAAGGCGCTTTGGTCTGATGCGAGCTGCTGCGCCTTGAATGACTATGAAGTCAGATGTGCCTTTCTGATAATCTGACACAAAAGATGCTCTTTCACATGAAGCCTCTTCCATTCCTGTTGAAGTAAAACATTATTTCAGCAAATAGTTTTAGATAAATACTGAAATAATAAAAGTAGATAATAACTCCAATATTGCTCCTAAAACACATATTAATGATTGATCACTGGTGATATGGTGTTATAGTGCAATTGTTGTTTGCATTTGTTCAATAAACTGCATTTGTAACCATAAAAAATTTATACATTGATGAAACAGCAGACATGTAATGTAAATTTAATTAAGTTGTCCCATAATAAATAACACATTTCTAAAAAAATAAACCCACAATGCAGATGTGTGTTGTGTATATGGTTGAACAAAATGAGCTTGGAAATTGTTATTGCAGTGGACATTAATTTATTTAACCTCCAATACTCAAATATTGCTCCCTTGAAAAAGGATCTATAAGAGAATTGATTCACTTTGTTGAAAAGGTGAGTTTCTCTAGTTTCATATGAAAGGAACCATGGGTTTGAACAAAAAAAGAAGACTTTATTTACAGAGTCAGAAGGATCTTTAAATATCCTCCTATGGGTGTAGATTGCTCTAGAACAAGTATTTCATTAAAACTCATTCGGCGTCTAGTTTTACACTTAAAAACATACAGCTTTAAGTTTAGTTCTTAATTAGCAGTACTTAACTCCCAGATGCCCAGATAACTGATATCAATTTGGAAACACAGACAGAAGTTTAGACTGGATGGACAGTTAAACTAAATATATAGTTAAAGAAAATGGGTTCAAGAACAGATATATGTCATCTTAGAACAACTAAAGACAAACATTGTTTTAGTGATTCATAGAATTTTGGCAATAGATTGTGATTTACACAGATTTGTTTGGTTATTGCAAAAGATAGACCTGGAAAATAACATGCAGAGACAGGACAATTCTAGCTTCCCTGGGCTTTACATCCTTTTTTGTGGTCACTGATATAAATTGGACACTTAAAGTGAGCTATTTTTATATAATAAAGACAGAGAAAAATTAAAAAGAAGCTATTAAAAAAGAAAATGATTTCTGCTAGAATAAGTTAACTGTAAGGTGTGGTTGCTGCAGCACAGAGAGTGTGCTGGTTATTTTGTTCCTACACCATTTAGTGCTTTTGCAATGTTGGCAACTTTGTTGACAAATTGTGCGCAAAGAGTAGCCCCCCTGACAGGAGGTGTTTTGGAGTCATTTTGTAAACTGGCACAGAAACAAAGGACCTGGAACTAGTTAAAAAGACAGATAGGGTAAAATAGCAAATATGTGTTTCATTGTGTTAAAGCTTTAACCTCTGCTGGTTGTTTGATCTACATTCTCAAAGGAATAAACAAAAACACTGTTTAATAAGAGGTCACATAGAGCTCACAATGCTTTATGAGCTGCTACAAACTTTAAAACCCCAAGTCCAAATCATTGTTTTGTCTATTAAAATGTATAACTCTTACACAGTTTTATGTTATCTGTTTAACATCTGGAATTTGTCTGGTGGTATTTATAGTGCTTGGAATGCAGAATAAACATCCAATAACTGTTCTTTTAAAAAGCTACAAAACATATCTAATTACAGCTGATGAAATACTTATTCAAACGCACTTCAACAGAACCTCCCCAAAAAGATATCAAAAACGTGATTTGTATTTTCTGTTGAACATCTGTCATGAGTATTCTGGGTGGGACATGTGAACCCCGCTGAGTGTGTCTTGTTTTGTGTGTTTTGTGACAAACTGCAGACCAATAACTACTACAGTGCATGAAAATGTATCTATCTTCTTGGATAGATGGGGATCGCCAGGCTTCGCTCTGGTGACAAGCGCACAAAAACATCGATCTTGATGGTTTAATTACAAGGCCAAACATATGGCCTCCAGATATCTATTTAAAACTTAAAAAAAACCTTCCTGTGTGAGAGGGATTACTAATACATCCCTTTTTAAAGTTAACATGTCCACATCATCTTTGGTCACTTTGTTTCACTTAGATGCAAGCTGTTCTAAATTATATGAACTATATACAATCTTAAAAGACATTTAATATTCCTAAAATCAACTTATTATTAATTTACTAAAGCCTATCTACAGCAGTGACCTCACCGTGGTCGGATACAATTATTATGTTTATACACTGGTGAAGATTTCTTGTAAAAAGTCCATTCATGAGGTCGCCCATTATCTTGTCAACCCTCTCCAAGGCTTTCAAAATCTGAAGGAACAAGAAAAAATTAAACAATTAGTAGTTACTTTAATTTAATGCAACGACAATATTGCCTAAAATACTGTTCTGACAGTAACAGCTTTAGCTTTCTACAAAAAATAAGAACAAAACATGAACAATGACATAAAGAACAGAAACTATATCTCCTTTATCTGATTTTATCTGATTGCATGTCCCAATGGGACATGCCTGGAACACCTCTCGAAAGGAGGCGACCAGGAAGCATCTGAAATAGATGCCAGAGCCACCTCATCTGGCTTCTTTTGGAGGACCAACGACTCTACCCCGAGCTCCTCACACGTAACTGAGCTCCTCACACGATCTAGAAAGGGTGCGCTCAGCCACCCTGCGAAGGAAACTCATTTCGGCCACTTGTATTCGTGATGTTGTCCTTTCGGTCATTACCCAGATCTCATGACCATCTGTGGAAACGTAGATGATCAGTAAATCGAGAGCTTTGTCGCCCTGCTCAGCTCCTTCTTCATCACGATAGTCCTATACAGTGACATCACTGGCATCACTGCCTATCCGTCTTTCAATCTCACGCTCCATCCATCCCTCACTTGTGAATCAGACCCCGAGATACTCGAACTCCTCCACTTGAGACAAGGACTCTCCACCGAGCTGAAGAGGGGAGTCCACCTTTCTACGGTGGAGAACAATGGCCTCAGATTTGGAGGTCCTGATCCTCATAACGGCAGCTTTACACTCAACTGCAAACAGCCCCAGTGCACGTCGGATGTACTGGTTTGATGAGGCCAACCGGACAACGTCGTTTGCAAACAGCAGAGATGATATCCTGATGTTTCCAAACCGGACATCCTCCGGTCCCAGGCTGTAACTAGAAATTCTGTCCATAAATGTAATGAACAGAACTGGTGACAAAAGACAGCCCTGGCCGCGACCAACATGCATCAGGAAAAATCTTAAAGGCAAGGATTCATAGCCTTTAGAAACCATCTAAACCTCACAATATACAAGGTTATTAAAATTTGAACCTATTTATTCATTTTGTCTATGTTTAAAGATTGTTTATTCATTTAAAACGAATTAATAAATCAGTTAGAAGAATGGATTATTAGAGCAAATGCAGATGTGCTATGCTCAGTACGTTAAGTGTTTACTTGTGTACTTTTCTCTGATTTATCTAAAAAAAAATTTTAATTTAGGGGAAAAAAAGTGAAAAAAGGTTACTCACATAAATAAAAGTGAGTGAATTTAAGCTCTAACTGACTCCTGACTCTTTAGGCTGTATAGCTAAAAATATGACCTTTTAATCATGGTGCAGACAAAATCAAAGCAAAGAGGAAGTTATGTATAAAAAATGTTATTAGTGGATAATAGAGAGGATGTGGCAAGATTATGCGAACATTCCCAGCAGAATATTAGCTCCAGTATAATTACACCTAGTTATGTTTGGATAATCATCAACCTGCTGACTTTGGCAGGTTTAAGGAGTAACTTACCTCCTGACTTTGTGGGCCATATCTATGTCCTGTACTGTCTGGTTCTTCCAAGTACAAAGTATAAAAGTCAGGTCTGAAACCAGAGACAAAATAAGCAAACATGGTTGTAATGTTTCTTGATTCTTATTCAGTAAATATTTGAATGAGAAATAAAGCAGCACCTTTCCTTCTCGGGCAAACTGAGCCAATCAAACAGCGTTTCCAATCTCGTCTCAAATGTGATGCTCCTGCAGACAAAGTGTTATTGAGGAAGCTTAAAAAATCATGCAGTTCTGAACGTAAATATTGGTTTAAAATGATTATTTTTATCCTTACTTATCATATTTCTTGTAGAAATTTGGGAAGGAGCCATTAATTTCTACATCTGAACCTGGCCAGAAAAAAGTGGCTGTTTTTAGTTTTTGCTGCATGGCGGTGATCCACACCTGAAGGAGATAAGTGAATAAGAAAAAGGGGCCATAGATGCCACCATTATTTGGAGAAAGAAGATGAAAAAACAACAGGAGGCTCTGCTACACAGGAAATGCATTAGGGAAAAAGGAAAATCTGGACAAATCTGTGTTTATCTACAGATATAACTGTTTTATTTATACAGCCATGGGCTAAATATATTCTGCCAGAAAGAGTGCTTTTATGCTAGTGGTATTGATAAAGAGTTATTTCTGTGCAGGAAACTGCTCAGCAGAGAGAGATAATTTCACCCCCTCTTTGGAAAGTCCTACAGCTGCAGCAATAAGACAGTGAAGAGGAGCAGCTTGTCACACAAGAGAGAAATGAGATGTATGAGGTCCCAAACTTAAGAACCACACAGTGATTAAGTGAGATCAACATGCTGCTCTCACAAGCTGACACTTTACACAAGCTGGATCCATCATTTCAACAGGAAAGTTGGGAGAGCAAATTACAGCATAAGCACCGAATCCTACAACCTTCTGATATAAGCTGAGAGATTCCTTTTTTGTTAATTCCAGCTGGTTTCCAGGAAATTCACAGTAAATAAACAATTAGCAAATACTTTGAGATGTTACAATAGCTTACAAAGGCTGAATTGCTCAATTCTGCATTGTAATTCTGGTATTCAGTCTCAGTTAGACAATAGCTTTATTCTGAGAACTAAAGGATTCAAATTCTCTATTTGTACACAGATCTACTCACCGGTTCCCCCTGGTACCACTCTGCATTAAATTTCTCAGGAGACTTTAAGCTAAATGAAGCATTCCGGGTCACATCGTACATCTTGTTGTCTACAATGCCATGAGACTCTGGATAAAGACCCTGCAGAAGCAGGAGAAAAGTTAAACACACAGTCGCACCTTTTGGCTCTGTAAAGCCCCATGTAATGAGTTTTTTTCTCTTTAAGTTACCTGGTATGCATTTCATGATAAATCTGCTGTCGTTTTGCGCTATCGTTTCTAACAATCTCATATGAACCCAAACTAAAACATTTTTATCTTGAAGTCTGCATCTTTTTCTGAGAAAGAAGAGACTAAAACCAGTTTTAAAGCTCTTTTTTCCATGCATGTGTGAGCACCTCGACTTTATAAGAGCAAAGACTTGATACTTTGTTGGCAGAGATTGAGCTTTGAGACTCACAGCAAAAGAAAAAAAAAAATTGCATTTGGTGCCAAGCACCCATTTAGCTGTTCACATTATAATTACAATCAGAGCAGCACAACAGACGCTTTAATGCTATTGCATCCTGTTTCAACCTTTTTCATTTTATGCCACATTTATTTGTGATATTTGTGATACTCTGGTAGACAAATAAAAAAGGTGACTAAAGCCTTCTCTTTTATACTTTAGACATATAAAGTGACGTAAGACCATGTTTAATCTCTCTAAAGATGAAACATGGCTTTTCTGTTCTAATGATTCATAATTGGCAATCCTTGTCTTGCATCAGATAAGGTCATGATGTAGATAGAGCAAATCTTACTATTACACACTCATTAACAAAGCAGGTTGAAAAGAAATGATGTCACAATAAAGATTGGCAATAGCTCCATCTCCAAAAACTGATTTATATCCTTTATCTTATCTACGACCCTTTTAAGGGGGCCTAAAGTTATTATGTCAGATTAAGTTTAGCACTCTGGCCTGATTGTTCTTCTAGAAAAGCCATTACTGGACTCGCAGAAATACTGAAAACTGGAATTTCTCTTCATTTCAACCCTTTAGCGAAAACAAGAAGCATTTTTGGTCCAAATGTCCTGCACAGGAAATTTACCCAAGTAAAATGTAATGATAATGAAGACTTTTTAACATAGACACACATAATATTTGGTTCCCCTCTAAAGAGTAAAACTGATTCAGTATATGGCTCTTTAAACTCTATAGAATAAATTCCAAAAACAAAAAACTGATTTAAAATGATACAGAAAAAAATATTATTGGTCTAATTGAGTAAAAGTTTATGTTAGATTTTATTTATTTATATATTTATTAAATGTTCTTCCCTAACGTAAAGCGTTTCATCTCAGGAACAGTTACCTTTTTGCATGATTCTTTAACAACCATGTTTAAATGTGGGTATTGTTAGTTTTTAAAGCATCGACAGTATGATTTTCCTACCAATTGTACCTCTGAAGGACCGAAACATTTCTTTACAATCACAAGACTGATTTTGGAAGACAGTTAGTAGAAAACCCTGCCAAATGTCTAAATGGCGCTTTAGGTAAATCACATAAAATCTAATTGTGTTTGAACGTAAAGAATTTCAATCAAAGAACTGAATCAAAAACTGCATATACTGTTTAAAGTATATTAAAAGTAATGATTACACTGAAGACCAATGTGAGCAACATCAGATGTTCATGCTGAGGCTAGACTTATATTAATCTTGTTATAAACCAGTATCATAGCAAGTTTCATTGTTTATTAAAATATAAGAGCTTACAGCAGCAATTTCCAAAAGTGTACCTTTAATTTAAATTATTTGCCCAGCTTAAAGAACAAAAAAAAAAAGAAAAAAAAATTGTTGTTCTTGGGATGTGGAGTATGCTATGTGTAAGAGTCCTGCTCTGGCCAGAGTGAGGGCCCAAGTAAATGAGACATTACACCTTTTAAATATAACTTTTTGTTTGCATTAAAACTTTCATGTTTTGCACAATGAAATGTGTGCTTAAACTTGTGATATGTTCTTATGACTCTTTGTCTGTACATCATTTAACTACATAGTGTTTTAGCATTTCCACCACAAATCATATAACAATATCAGCATTTCCAGTATCCATAAATAAAAAAAAAATTTAAAACTGTTGCTAGAATATTACTAAATACGATTTCATTTCAATCTATTTTTCACTCCGTCCTTCCTACTTTTCCAGTGGTTGTCCCGATGTGCCACTTTAGGAGCTTTCTGGATGCTGTATAGATATGATTCATTAAACCAAATATTCTTTCTCATCGGCACTGAATGCATGAAATTTAGCAGAAATATCCACCTGCTGTGAGATCTGTTTTAGAATGTGCTGACTGACCCCTGTTTATGCTCTTGTTTCATCTTGTACTTGAATTTAGCAAAACAAAAGAAGAAAACTTGCATGAAGCATCACACTGAACAGATGCATGTTTGATAGCATGACTGTTACAAATCAGTGAGTTTTATTGTTCTGGAAGCCCAGACTGCTAAATCAGTTAGGCTGTCACATATTCTTCTTTCTGCTAGATTATTCATTTATGCATTTCTAATGCTCTTTGATGCACTGAAAAAGAACATTTGTTAAACTTTTTTTTTAAAGGACAATTACCTCTTATCAAACATATTCATCCAAATACAACACTTAAATGTGTTAATTTCTATGATAAAACTGATTTGATAGTGATATTTGAAACTTGCACTGAGGAGTGGATCATATACCAGAACAGTTTTTTTTAGTAAAGCAGACTGGGACATCCAGGCTGATTGCGATAGCGTTCATAAAGATTAGATGCTATAAGAGCCCAAAATTAAATAAAAATAAGATTAACATAATCCCTATTCATTTAATGTTTTATATACCTAATTTAGTTTGGTAAGGAAAAATAGCTGTTCTCCATTTTTCTATATTATCTCATGAAATTCTGGATAATTTCTCGTATTTTCATTGTTGGTTATAATTTAAAAAACAAAAAAAGATTATTCAAATGCTGCAGAAAAGAATATTATTGGTCTAATTGAGCAAAAGTTTACGTTGGATTTTATTTTTGTGCTACATACATAGATTATCAGAAAATGAGTAGAGAGTGCGCAACTGTGCCATTATGCAGCTAAGAGGCAATGTTGGTATGCACATGTATGCACCCTGTTGCCAGTGAAACTGCTAAAGATGTGACATCCAATGTGTGAAACTATTTAAAAGTAATGTAAAACCTGCTGTCTAGTTGTGGATGTGTACATTATTTGTACTCCACTGAACAAATATTAAAATAAACTTAATATTTATATTTTGATAGTTTAAATTAAATTTTTCATTGCAATATATGTAGAGAAAATGAATAAAGACTTAAAAAAACTCCAAGTCTCACACATCATTTTATATAAATTAGCCAGATACTCCTAAATGTATACTTGTGGGATGTTAAGTACCTTTACAGTTTAACCTATACTTCAACCCAAAAAGTTGCACTAAATAAACACATGACTAACTTAAACACTTACAGTCACTATGGTATAGTGGTTTGGAAAAGTCTTTGTAGGATAAACAGGCCTGAGGTAAGGTGTTGTTGTTCCATCTTTTCCTGCAGCACAAATTATGTTAGTAATATCAAGAGAATATTTAGAGAGAGAGAAGACGAGGCTACTTCTCTGACTTACGCAGCTTGTTAATGATCGGTGTCTGGCTTTTGGGGTCTTTAAAATACTCTGCTCGGAAACCATCCAAGGACACAAGGAGGAGAGGAGGTCTGGAAAAACTGGGCAAGAGCAGAAACATTTTTCCATGTAAGCTTAACATAAAACTCTCTGTTTCTGGTGCAGAGGAAACAGATGTGAGAACCTCAAAAGGCAACAAAGTGTTAGTAGCATGTATACTGAAAAAAATAATGCAACTGCATTTGGCATTTACTTAATCATATTCAGTTACTTTAACACAATTGTTTTATGTCCTATCCTGCTGACATGAAACAATTGTTTTAAAGTAACTAAATATGATTAAGTAAATGCCAAAAGCGGTTGCATTAGGCGTTAATCATCAAAAAACATTCAAAATAATCCAGCGTTATAAAAGCATGGCCTTTATATTTGTGTGTAGCATTTAATTAATGAAACAGTGGAAACTGGCCCAGATGGAAACAGGTTTGGACAAGCCTCACATTCAGTATGAACAATATGGCTCTGTTGTAACTTCAAAACACTGTGTGTTCCTACAAAAGAACCATGACTCAAGTTAACACAAAGTCACCAAAGTCACCACTATCTATCAATCGATCTATCGATCTATCTATCTGTTTAAATGTCATCCCTAAAAGTTTCAGAAAATTAGACCAAGGCCATTTGTCAGATCTGAATTATTACTTTAAATCCCCACATAATATTCCTTGTTCTCTAAACAGAAAATCAGTTTCTCTCTCTTTTTTTTTTTTTACAATTTGCAATTACTTTGTTAAATCATTGCAAATGATCATGTGACATTTTCTGCATTGTTTCCTGCAATAAAAACTGTTTCTGCCATGTTAATTAAAATAATAAAAGTATTATAAACTATTGAATAGTCGCAACATCTAGACATTAATTTGCACACAAGACGGTTAAAGAAGTTGCCATAATTTAACAAGCAAATTTCTATTTCCAAAACAAAACAAAACAAATTTGTCCTGAATAAGTTACTTTTGGTCCCCAGTTGAATATTGACTTTATCCAACCAATGGAAATGTGTGAAGCAGCCAGCAGGGAGGGAACATAGCTGCAATCTCTAAAAATCTTATAATGACCGCATAACTCTTTTATAAGTATGGCACTGCTTACCATTTTATGACAACATGAATCAAAATAGAAAATATGTAATGTTCTGTTTTTTTTAAACTAAGGGTTAAATGTAAAACTAAAAACATGCAATAAGCATTTTCCAGAGAGAATAAAGCCTAAATAAAAATTTGATTTGCTTCTAGAAGCATTAAAGACTCCTGTTTAGCAGAATGAGGAACCAAAAAAGCATAGACCACAGTTCTTTAATTTCTATTTTAAACAAAAATTATGCTTGTTGTGAGCAACAGTTTAAATGTTCCATTGAGAAATATGTCTGCCTAGTTCTGGCTTCATGTCATGACACAGACACAACTCAAAAACGCATGCCTGATTAGTCAAAGTCATTAACCTAGTTTCCATACAGATATTGACCAACTACTGATGAATAACACTATTGGGAAAAACACAAGCCTAACCTTTGGGTTAGTTACACTCATTTAAAAAAAACCCAACAAAAAACAATAACTGCTGAAGTGATGGGAAAATGTCTAGAATAATCTCTTTAGTCACATTTCAAAACTCCTCTCTGCAAATAACCTTACAACAGAATGGGCCAGACCTGAATAACATTGCAAAAAACTATGAAGCCTTATACCCCTTTAGAATAAAGTGATGTATTCTAAAGCTAACGGTTGAAATGTCCTCACCCAGGTGGGCACTGAGGCTCTTGAACCTCCTTTGCCTCTGTCTCCCAGAGTCTCCCAGATTCTGAAAAGAATAAACAAACATGTAAGTAAAAAGTTTTAATGCTAGTTATGATTTTATAAAATATTTTTCAAAACTATCATCAATTGAGCACCACAAAAACAGCGAGTGTTTGCAGCAACATTTCCTCATGATTTCTATAAGTCTAATGTTGTAAGTATAATATCTTCTGCCATCAACTGCCGGGATAAGAGCATCAGAGCAAAGGAATCAAAGAAGCTAGAGAAGGCCAGCGCTGCTCTAGGAACTCATTTAGAACATCTGCAGGTGATTTTACAAAGAGGAATTCATCATGAAATTAAGAACAAAGGTAAGCATCCCCTTCAGAGCACTGTTAAACAACAACAGAGTATCTTTAGTCAAAGGCTTTTCCAGATCACCACAAGACAGACAGAACAGCTCGATGTTCTAATGCATTTTGCATATCATATCATTCCATATCAATTACCTTTTGCACCATCACTTTTAAACTGATTTCATTTTTTCCTACACTGTTTACATTATTGATCACTACTGCACTTTATAAATGGTAATGTTCATTTCACTGTTGGAAGCTGGTTTCCTGGATATTATAGCCTCCAGAATTAAACAGGTTCTAAAACGTCTTTGGAAACAAAAGGTGGAAACTCTTCTGATGTTGGTATTCAAGTAAAGTAAGTTAATAGTAAGTCACAAACATCGGTTCTGAAGAAAATGAAGCTTAAAAAGCACTGTAACCAGTGAAAGTGAAGCTTCAATATTCTGAGTAATTCAGCACTATTTTAAGGTTATTGAGTCTTAAAACAACCTTTTTACCATTCAAAATGATCTGGACATTTGCTGTTAGAGAAAAACTTATCTGGAGTTAGAAAGTCAGAAAAGTTTTTCCAGGATATCTGTTTCCTATTTTCTGTTTAACAAAAAAAAAAAAGAAAAGGCCAAACATTTTACGCAACTGTTGAGCAGAACCAGACTTCACAGGAAAAAGGAAAATGGGAGAACAATTTCATGCCTGATTCTCAACTGGATAGAAGTGCTTAAATCTGCCAGATAAATGTAATATATACATTTTTGGACAACTAAACTAATGTAAAAATATATTTAGAGAGTTGGTAAATGGCCTGTAGTACTTACATAATTATTCTATATAATTCATGCTTACTGTCTCTATAAAAGACCCTTTACTCTTCCAGGTTATAAAGGCTGAACAAATATGATTATAACCCCCCCTTCACTGCCAGTAAGGAGAGGTCACTGAACCAGTTGGACACTTTACATTCAACTTCACATAAATACTGATAATCTGCTCAGGGACCAATCCCTAATTAACTTTAGGCTTTGCCAATTTTTGTAAAATCTGACAAGCTGAACCATAAAGTCAAAGATGACTCACCTACTTCACAATAGGTTGAAAAGGATGTATAAATGTTGGTCATAAAACTTTTTAGCTAGGTTTACCTTGCAAATTTATTTATGTTTACATTATTCACATGTTGGATTAATATTACTTTTAATGTGATAATGTAGTTGTAATGTATTTAAAAGCCAGTTTTAGCTAATTATTTCTTTCAGTTAATCTATTTTGTTTCCCTCTTATGAAGATGATACTCTGATTTATTTACAGTTATAGTGAAATCGCTTTTTCCGCTTTAAAGGAGAATTCCGGTTTTTAACACTTTTAGCCCATTTTCTGTAGTGTCCAGGATGAAATCGAATGATCGACACCAAAATTTTGACAATTGGTCCTGTCTCTGCTTTTTGGCTCATTTAGAATCCCCCCCTGGCTGCTTCAGAACGGCTTCCATAGTGCATGTCCGATAATGTCCTTAAAACAACCTTAAACGTTCTTTTTTTAAATATGCTACTCACCGGGTCGTCAGCGCTGTTCAATGACGTTCCAAAAAAAGTTTCGTAAAGAAAAAACTTTCCTGTAGTGTTTTATTTAGCATTTTGTAAATCCCATTGAGTTCTGTTGGAATAGTCAATATTCCCCTGCCACCGGAAACGGAAATGGGGCCTGTTTACACAGTTGTAGTCTTTTCGCTTCACTCTGTGTACTCCGAGAATCAAGAATCCACCTTTCGTATTCCATTTTCAGAGTTTTTTAAAGTGTTTAACAGAGACGTTAGCACCTCGACGTCGGAGTACACAGAGTGAAGCGAAAAGACTACAACTGTGTAAACAGGCCCCATTTCCGTTTCCGGTGGCAGGGGAATATTGACTATTCCTACAGAACTCAATGGGATTTACAAAATGCTAAATAAAACACTACAGGAACGTTTTTTCTTTACGAAACTTTTTTTGGAACGTCATTGAACAGCGCTGACGACCCGGTGAGTAGCATATTTTAAAAAAAGAACGTTTAAGGTTGTTTTAAGGACATTATCGGACATGCACTATGGAAGCCGTTCTGAAGCAGCCAGGGGGGGATTCTAAATGAGCCAAAAAGCAGAGACAGGACCAATTGTCAAAATTTTGGTGTCGATCATTCGATTTCATCCTGGACACTACAGAAAATGGGCTAAAAGTGTTAAAAACCGGAATTCTCCTTTAACCACCGATGGACCAATGTTGGACAGCTTCAGATTTTCTTAAGTTCAATGTAAATAAAACTGAAGTCCTGATTTTTGGTCCCAGAGAAAATCATAGCGCTTTACCCTCTGATCTTGTTGTTAGGAATCCAGTTTCTGTGGGTTGTGCTTGGTGTTTTTTCTCTCCCTCCACCACCAGGTGGTGCCCTGTCCTCGTTGGTCCTCCTGCACACCTGCGGCTGGTTGGCTCATCACTGAGGAGTATTTGAGTGGTGGTGGTTTTGGGTACTCTAGCCAAGCTGAGATTAGCTGAGTCTAACTCAGTCTTTGTTTCTCTGAGCTTAACGTTGTTTTTTGTCTTTGCCTTTTGGCAGGAAGTCCTCCTGCATACTGGAAGGATTTGAGCTTCATACTGAGCAGGGGATCAATCTCCACATGTCCCGTTCAAGTTCTCCCGGAAATCTAAGTGGCAGTCCGCTCCATTGCTCCTCAGGAACCAATCAAGTAAAAACCTGTCCACCCTCCAACGAGCCCCTCAATCTCTGGATAAAGCCGCACCGACTGAATTCTGGGAATCTGGGATTTTCTTCGTAAAACGTGAGTCCCGTTTATCTCTGTTTTTGCAAGACATCGTTCAAAGTTCCCACGGACCCTGAAGTAACCTCCGTTAACTTAGCTCTCTGACTTTTCCTGAATCCTGTTGAAAAATCTTGGATTAATTCTTGATCCTGGTCTTAACCATAAGAAACAGACTAGTAAAAGCTATAGTATTTTAAGTTTAAAAAAATATCTTTCAACAGTTTGAAATGGGTGATTCCTGCTTTTATTAGCTGCCAACTTGATTCTGTGGTTTACACTAACACCTTTTATATGTTGGTGTAAACCAAGCCAGGCTTAGACTAACATAATACATATTACAGTACAGTCTTAAAGATCTTTTTTTATCCTCTATTTGCATTATGTTGTTATATGCTTGAATTATCTTTTCTTTTTTTGTATCCAGCACTTTGGCCAAGAGCATTTTTTAAAATGGTCTGTACAACAAAATTTAATTTGATCGCCTTGATTTGATTGATTGTTTTGGTAAGAGCCAACACAAGTAGTCACCAGATAGAAACACTAAACCATGTTGCTGAAATACTGTAAGGTACAACACTGTCCATAGCATCTGCAGGTTAGTCATGTTAAGCAGCAATTCATCATCATGCAATAGCAAAGTTTCCATCGAGTGGGTAAAATATCTTTTAAATGAAGCTTTACAGTCCTTTTGTAAATGAAACAGCAGATTAAGCAGATGCTTGCTTTGGTGGAATCATCTTTTTATTGTTAAATTTAGAATTCTGTATTATTTGCATATTAAAATAAAATACCTACAGCTTCAATGTTTTTCCCATAGACAGAATGACACCAGCCTGACACCGGGCCTGATCTTTCACCTTTTTCGAAGAACTACTACATTTGTCAAGTGCACTGGTGACAGGACATGTAACAGAATAGTCTTATCATTCTGGTGAGAACCCCCACTCCCCCTTCTCTGGCTTGAGGTCAGCTATGTGGTTTGGAGCAAACACACAGTGGCAGTGTCTCATGAAAATGATTCATTTGATTTTTAAATCTACAGGGAAACCTACACTCAGCATTTTAGGCAACACACAGACTCCATTTATAGAGAAGGCGCTGATTAGTTAAATTCCTCTTCTACAAGTTTTTTTTTTTAATTATTTCTCTCTGATTAGATTGTGCCTTCTAATCTGGGGCTCCGAAAAATTATATGTTTTTCTTAATAACAGTAAAGATACTCCAATTCATTTGATTCTAAAATCTATTTATAAAAAAAAAACATAGAAGAAAGCAGGTCAACAAGAGTCTGGCTGTGTGGAAAATCTGACCCTTTTCTTCCCTTAATGCTTTCATACAGGCAGGCAGGGAAAACATGAGGAAAAGCTACCACAGAGGAAGGAGCACCCCTCCCCAGAGGATCACTGCCCACATTCTCCCCCAGAAAATCAGAAGGGGCGTTTAAGAAAAGCAGTGTACGATGAAGAACATACCAAAGGGCACACTGGCTTTATGGCCCACGCTGAACCAACCCATAGCTGGTCAAAACATTTCCCTTTCATGGAAGAAAAGGTGGTTACAACAGCTTTTGAATAACTTAATACCAAAAAGGCATGACTACTCAGTTGATAACTTGAGAATGCATGTCTTAGAGGGTTCACATTCACTTCTAGCCCCTAAGTAACTGGACCCATCTTCTCTAAATATACCCTGTTTACGTTTTGGATGGATTCACTCAGACATTTCACTCTTAAAAATCCCACATCAACTTTGATGCTGTTAAAATTGTCCTATTCTACCATTTACTGCATTTAAAAAAAGCATAAATAACAGCTTTCTACAATAACATCATAGTTGGTGTCATGCAATCTGTAGAAAGGAAAGTGAATCAAAGTTGAGCCAAATCCCTGGCTTAGGAGAGGGAAAATCAAATAC